GGATTTCCGAAAGCATTACCGAGAAAACAAATTAGAAAAGGAAGAGTAAGGGGAAAAAGTACAATAATTACTGAAACGCCCGAGAAGGATAAATTGATAGAAAAGGAAAAATCAAAAGAATTAACTCAAAAAGTTAAGAGAAATATAAGTGAGTTACAGAAGAAGGGACCTAAAAAACCATCTCACAAGATCAAGAAGGCAAAGAAACGGGATTCTACAGACACTGAGACTTCCGAACATTCTGAATATGAAACGTTTTCTGAAACTGAAGACTGGGTACCGGATGATGAAACTGAAGGTTCCGTTGTGACCAAAGAAGATATATTAACGAATAAATTTGTTGTAATTAGATTCCCAAAACAAATTTATTATGTTGCAAGAGTTACAGGAGTGGCTGATGATGAGTTTGAAGTGTCTTTTCTTCGTAAGAGTCTTAAATTTTCCAATTGCTTTCTCTTTCCAGATATACCAGATACCTCTTTTGTTACTTTAAATGATATAGCAATGGTACTTCCAGATCCTGATCCAGGCACAACAAAGCGGCAGTCTAAACTGTACAAATTCAGAATTAACTTCAGTTCAGTTAATATTCGCTAAAAAAAATATTTCATTTTTTAAACTTATGTTAGTCATGATTTTCTATGTCTCAGTTGGTACTTGTGTTAGTCTCACTTAGTACGCTTTCAGGTACTAAATGAGACAAATTTGTAATAATGAAAAATAAAGTTTTTTTTTTGTTATTTTTGTGGTTAATTCCTTTTTTGTTAATCATTTCGTAAGCGGGAAGATTATACTATTAAATGAAATAAAAACAAAATGCGTGTTAAGAAAAAAAAATAAATTAAAGCCAAAAATGTAAATTTCGTCTCACCTAGTACTACCTACCCCTACGCTCTTAGTAAATTTCGAAATGTTAAGTGAATTACGCATAAGTTTTTAATAAAAGGACATACCCAAAATGAAGGTGATATGGTACATTCTACCATCGAAAAAGAAAATGTTGATAAAAACTTTAATTTATATACAAAGATATGTTATTGAATTTCTTTCAAAAATTCATTAAATTGTTTATAAAATTTTACCACTTTTGGGTCATATTAACAACATAATTCAGAAAATTAAACTTCTTTGCCAGATCATATTGATTTGGATAGTTTACATGTAAAAAACATAAAATAGGCGTCTTTTCTCATTTAGTGAAAACTTGTCTACCATTAATAATAAGAAACTATTATAATGATAGTATTAGCGCTGCAGCAATGTCTAAAAGACAAAACAGGCAAACAAAATCATTTGCATTTAATTTAGTTTTTTGTTCTGTTTTAGTTTATATGGATGGTTGCTTTTATCTTATTTCCCAAGATTCAAGAAGAATTTTTTGTTTTTTGTTTATTTTGAAAAGTTAATTATTTATTGTGCAATTTCTGATTTTCATATTTTTATACCTGAAATGTAATGTTTGTGATATTAAAGTAACTTCCTCGAAAACAGATATATTTGGAGATAATAATTTATAATACGAATTTGTTTTTAAGGCATTAGTTAAACTTTAGAAATTAACATTTGTGTGATATTAGGATTATTTTTTATAGAAACTGGTAAATATTTGTAAAATAGATTGTACTTCGTATAGAACTAAACTAATATACATGCAAATAAGGAGGGTGGGTGGGGTTCTCCTCATCTGTAAGTTAAATAGCACTATCATCTATACTCTGCTTGGGGTTTCACTCGTATGGGGGTGAAGTGAGAGAACATCTGTTACTATTTTTGTATTGCTATTTATTTATGTTTCTTGGGAGTTTTAGTTAATATTATTATAAGGTTTGTTTCAACATAATGAAAAACCAGTTCATGTACTTTTAGGAACATGCGCTGTGAGAAATTAGCGTTCCAACATACTTTCGTAATTTGAACAATACATTAATATTAACAGTAATAATGCTAAGTTATGTGACCTATCCCGGGACCACTTGCGGCGGGCGCTAATACACCACCACCACCCCCCCAGGTAGAGGATTTCAACTCGTTTGCAGTAACCAATTTGCTTACCAAGACGTATGCGATCCTGCTTTATTTCAACAATTTTCTCAAAATGCTCCTCCAGGCTACCAAGTAATCTCGGTAGATCCATGTGTTTTTCCCGGTAAAAACGCACATAGGTACATAGTAAATAAAATATGCTACAAACCGTTTTCGACAGTGTGAACATATTGCAAATGTGCATCATGAAATGAATACGTACAAGCCACAAAACAGTAATGTAGGATCAATTGCTGTAGTCCTAAGTGGATTTATAGTAGAGTATAAAGTTTTGTGTGTGTTACCGACGTAGCCATCGGCGTCGACGTGCTGCAAGCTGGCCTGTGGGCTTAAATCAGCCTCTTCAACCTTCATTTATAATGTATAGGCCACAAACAGATTTTGCTGGAAATATAGTTAGATGTAACGATCAAGATTTTACGTGCGGTAGGCAACATTTTTAAGTGTCAGTATATTATGTAAATTTAACAATTTTAAGTCTTGAAAACCCGTATATTTTTGTTGTTGTGACCAGTTGTGTATACTAGGCTGTTTGAATCCCTAATACAAAAAATAAGAAATGTTGTACTATATAGTACAATTTTTATACAGAAAATATTTAATTAATGTGAAATGAAAATAGTATATAATAAAATAATAAGTATATGATTTAATAAAATACAGCAAATATAATTTCTGTTGTAGTACAGGGTGCGGCAGCATAACTTCCTTTTTTGGAATGCGCGCCATTAGGCGATAGGGATCGTAGCGTGGTGGGAGGGATCGTAGCATGCTGGGAGTAATTGCATTCGACAGGCGTGGCTCTAAAGTTTTATTTCCTTCCTCGTTAGTCGCCGTCATGCGTTGAAATAGTGAGGAGCGTGCGTTTGCCGTAGAGGCCTACTTTTCGAAAGGATCTTCTGTGATCGCGACCCAGCGCGCCTTCCGAAGTCACTTCAATATAGCCCATTGGGCCCTGTGCCGGAATGCAAATCAATTGTTACATGGGTCACTACGTTCAGACAAATTGGGAGTGTGGCAAGACGAAGAACTGGAGTTCGACGTATGAGAACACCTGAGAACATTGAGGCAGCGAGAGCTTCACTTCCATCCATATAAGTTGGTGATTATGCAGGAACTCTCCGAACGCGACTTTAATTCTAGTAGAAACGCATGTGAAGCGCTTCTCGAAAACGTTCCAGAGGACGCAATTGTTTTTTTAGCGACGAAGCTCATTTTCACTTGAATGGATGCGTTAATAAACATAACATGCGTTATCCCCTAGAATTGCATCAAAGGCCTTTGCATTCACCTATAGTCTCAGCTGAGATTATTGGTCCGTGGTTTTTTAAAGAAAATGAGGTCACAGTGACAGTGAATTCAGAACGATATGTGAATATGCTAGAGCAATTTTTTTTCCAACGACTTGATGAACTGGATTTAGGGGACATTTGGTCCCAATATGACGGAGCAACGGCTCACACTTCAAGGGCATCGATGGCTGTTTTGAGGGAATACTTCCCGGAGCGCCTCATCTCAATGAGGGGCGATTTGGAGTGGCCAGCCCGCTCCCCCAATTTGACACCGTGCGTTTTTTTTTGTAGGGTTTTTTGAAATCCCGCGTTTATGTCAACCGCCCAAGGACCCTACAAGACCTGAAGGCCAACATCCGGGCAGAAATTGCCAACATCCCAGTCAACCAGGGCACGTTGTAATACACGTGGATATTAATTTACTTTTTAACGTAGTTTAAATTAACCCAAATACAACGTATAAGCAACGTTATTATCTTCAATCAAATTGTACTAGACCACGTTACCTAATGTGTAATACACGTGGATATTGAGTTACTTTTTAACGTAGTTAAAATTAATGCAAATATAACGTGTAAGGAACGTTTAGTAACTTCTGTCAAATTTTATTTTATTTAATATCGTCAATTCGAAGTTTAGTTTGATACAAAGCAAAACAGCACTATTTTGATTTTGTACCTGTAAATTCATTAATAGTATAATATATAAATAATAGTTTATTGTACCTATAACAAAGACAAAAATATTTTTGTTAATACATATTAGAGTGGTCGTTAAAAATTAAATTCTTTCGGACGCCCAAAAAAATCTTTCCTTTTGATGATAAACTACAGGAAAAATTTTGCTTTTCTATTTTCGACAAAAAGAACACGTGCCGGGGGCCAATTAAAGTTCGATTTTCGACAAAATTATAGTTTTCTGAAATATTCGTCACAATATTTCAATTTGGACAAAAAATCATCAAAATAGGCGTATAGGAAATTAAATTCTCACAAAAGGGATTCTTTCGGTTTTAGATAAAGTTCATATCCATCGAGATAATCTCATTAGTAAACTTACAAACTTTATTGAGTCAGTTATTTTAGCTCTAAAAACTTTATTTTTTCTGATATATGAACAATTTTCTCAAAATATCTTGAATTTTAGATATTTTCTTGATATTTTGACATGGGTAATTGATTTTCAATTTGATGATTTTCAAATGAAACCTCTATCGGTATGTTATCTACGATTAATCTATAATGATATCGATATCGATATTTTTCTAAATTATCGACACTTCTAAAAATCTATTTACAGTAAACACATTATTTAGTTTAATTTGTTATAACTGTACTTTTGACATTATTGATTATAATGTGTTTACATGTTTGGTATTTCTGTGCTCCAAATTTAGTTTATTATTTGAGTCATTGAAATATTTGATTGTATCAACCGCAAAAAAAAACAAACAGTGTGAAACGTAATTGCTATAGTGTTACGCTCATTTGCATTTGTGAGGTTAGGTTATAAATCAAAGTAAAGCTCGAGAATTAGATTACAATCCACTGATCCTCTTTTACGAAAATTAGTCATTTAATCTTAAAATTTTTTTTAATTAATTTGATCTTTCTTATAGTTTAATAAAATCTGTTAAACAAGTATTGATCTCTTTTTAAAATTAACATGGCAATGCAAGACGAAACAGAAAATATATTTTTAATTGGGCATACTAATTCTCAGATTGATGGAAATCAATTACCATCCAACTTACAAGTTTTACAATGTTTATTTCATAATCTTCGAGTATTGAAGCATAATTTACATGATAGTAAGCAATTAGTTTATGATCGATTGATTATTTTTTGGCAAAGAGTGAAAATACCAATCCAGCAAAAATCTCGATGCATTGCAAAAATTGACCGGTTATATAATGAATGGCGCAGCTTACAAAAAAGCTCTTCAATAAGAGGAATTACCCAAATAAATAAAGAGGAAGGTTTTTCATCAAATCTCCAGAACTTATTCGACATTGCTCATCATGATGCTTTGACTATGATCGATGATAAGATTAAAAAATTTTTATTAAATCAACGTAAGCCTTGTCGTGTTGGATTTATCGATGAGATTGAAGATCCAATTTCTGGTAAATATTGAAACAATTTCTGGGTTCTATGGTTTATATTGCACGACTCATAATGAGAACCATTTGAGGATGTTCTTCGATCGAAAAATTTATTATAGGTTATTATTAATTTTTGAATTATTTTTTTTTTATTTTTTTTTTACAATGAAACGTCCATTATGAGTCGTGCACTTTTGGATTTTCAAAACTTTTTTCTGAATAACAATTTTTTCTTTTATTTTTCTTTTAGAAAGTTCTGAACCTAGTTCGCAAATTGAGTCAACAGACACAAGCTCTTTCAGTCAACAAAGCCTTCAGAGAGATCCCAATTTTGTATTGGAATTAGATGAATCACCACCATCGAAAAAATCTCGTGGAACAATCGATATTTTCACTCCAAAATTATGCACAATGTTGGATAAATGTAAAATCAGCGATCGTAATGCGACTGGTCTTTTGATAAGTTTTCTTGAAGCTGCTGATCTCGATGCTAGCCAATACATTGTTAATAGAACTTCAATAAAACAGAAGCGTGAAAAGTTTCGGGAAAAAAGAGCTGCGGAAATTCAGCATAGATTTAAAAATAGAGATCTCAGTAAATTAGTTATTCACTGGGACGGCAAACATTTACCTGACATTACTGGTAGAAGCTTTGTAGAGCGTCTTCCCATCATAATTTCTACAGAAAAAGAAACTAAAATACTATCGATACCTAAACTCGAAAATTCCACCGGTCGTGCAATGGCCGATGCAGTTTTTGATGTTTTGCAAGAATACGGGATTAGTGAATTCGTAGTTGGTTTGTGATGTGATACTACAGCTTCAAACACGTGACAATTTAATGGTGCAGCAGTGCTGATAGAACAATCATTGGAACTAGATCTCCTTTTATTACCATGTCGACACCATATATTTGAAGTTATACTGAAAGCTGTATTCGATTGTCAAATTTTCAATTTTTCCGGACCGAACGTGCCTTTATTTGTAAGGTTCAGGAAAGAGTGGGATAAATTGGACTTTACAAAATTTGAGTCTGGAATAAATGATCCGATAATCTATAATATTCTGAAAAATGACATTCTCGACATCCATGAGTTTGCAGAGACACAATTAACTTTAAATCATGACAGAGACGATTATTTAGAATTTTTAAAGTTGACATTGATATTCATTGGAGTAGTACCCGATAATGTTATGTTTCATGTTCCTGGAGCTATGCATCAAGCAAGGTGGATGGCCAAGGCAATTTACTCTCTAAAAATTTTTCTTTTGCGATCTACGTTTAAGTTGACTTCAAATGAAAAAAAAAAAGCCTTAGTATAGTTTGTGTTTTTATCGTAAAAATATATGTAAAAATATGGTTTATGGCATCATCGTCGATCAAAGCTCCCAATTGTGATTTTCAATTGATACAATCGATTTACAACTTCCAATCAATTGACAAAAAACTATCCTCTGCTGCTTTGAAAAAAATTTTGAATCATTTATGGTATCTCGCTCCAGAAAACTGTTTAATGGCATTATTCGATGACAGTGTTGATAGAGAAACGAAAAAAAAAAAAATGGTTCAAAAATTATTCGATACTTCTAATAACGAACTTGATTCCTCAGATGACAGTCAAATCTATAATTCAAAAAAAATGGTAGTAGCTGAAAAAGGTGTACCAAATTTATTTGACCACGGATTAGAACAGTTCGTTAATCCTTCTTCAATTAGTTTCTTTCTCAAATTGGGTTTGGATACAAGTTGGTTGAAAGATGATTGTGAGAACTGGTAAGAAAATATAAATTACCAGGTCTGTTTAAACGCTGTAAATAATTTACCAGTTGTGAACGATGTTGCTGAGCGCGGTGTGAAATTAATGCAAGAATACAATGATTTGTTTACGAAAGATGAAGATCAGAAGCAGTTTATTATTCAAATTTTGGATGATTACAGAGTTCGAAACATAAAAAATACAAAAGAAAGCTTACTCAAACCGTGGAATTGATAAATCAGTCTATGAGATATAAACTTGTACTTTTTCGTTTTGAAAATGAATGAATAATATCAAATATAACTTGGTAGTCATTAACTAGACCTACATTAATGAATAAGTGTATATAGAATTTACAAAATTGTTCATATTTCAGAAAAAATAAAGTTTTTAGTGCTAAAATAACTGACTCAATAGAGTTTATAAGTTTACTAATGATATTATCTCGATGGATATGAACTTTATTTAAAACCGAAAGAATCCCTTTTGTAGAGAATTTAATTTCCTATACGCCTGTTTTGATGATTTTTTTGTCCAAATTGAAATATTGTGACAAATATTTCAGAAAACTATAATTTTATCGAAAATTGAACTTCAATTGGCCCCCGAAAATAAAAAAGCAAAATTTTTCCTGTAGTTTATCGTCAAAAGGAAGGATTTTTTTGGGCGTCCGAAAGAATTTAATTTTTAACGACCACCCTAATACATATGCCGTACAATATGTAAATAAATAAAGCTATTGATGTTACTTATAAATCTTCAAAAAACTATTCAATAAATAAATTCAAATTTCGCGCGAAACTTGATTGGCAATCGACATTTGACATGATTTGTCATAGTATTTTTTTTTTCTAAATTTCTGTAAGATTGATAATATTTTAATTAAAATTTTTATTTTAGGATTCAATTGCATTTTAGCCCATTTAATTAAAATAGAGCAACAGAACAACCAAATAATATCTATTTTGAGACAAAAATCTGAAATATTTAGTACAATTCCTGAATGCATTAATGAATTACCATTAAAAAACATTGAAGAATTGACTAATTTTGAAACAAAAATTTCATCAGAGGAAGAGTTTAAGTCTTTGGTAGGTAGTACACATAAAACATTATTCAACATTTTTATTAAATACCTATGCAATTTTTGTAGGTTTCTTATTTGGCACAATTTGGAGGGGAAGCAACTGTTACTCGAACAAACAAAATTTATTTATTTAACTTTTGTGGGCATAACAATAAACAACCATTTACAAATTTGAAATTAAAAGATGCAATAACTCGTAAGTAATACTGTCTAAAATTTTAAATTTACTTCTAAATTATTATTTACCTAACTTTGATAAATTTTTGTGACATCAATAAATCTATTGATTATTTTATAATAAAAAGTGTGCTTGTCTAATGGAGATTACTCATCATCAGTTCCGACTTATAGATTACTAAACTACACAAACTATAATATAAAATAGAATAATGTAGGTGTATTAATTGTTTCAGAGTCCGTTCAGCGTAAGGAAAAGGCAGCTTCTAAACATGATATTGAACAATGCATTAAGAATTGGTTGAAGTATGCTCCAAAGCGCATCCAGATCGCCAGAAGTAAAGGGGAGAGAATTTAAATATTTTTTTATGTGCAGGTGCGGACGATTAAGAAATAATATTTTTTAATTCAATTAATGGTTTAACGTGTTTCGAAAACGTAAGCAAATAGTTTCTAAATGGCAATTAAGTAGAAGAGTAAAACATCAAGTTCAAATAGAGTTACAGAAATTTAACAATTTAAGAGATAACCATAATCCTAGTGACACTAGTTCTCTTTGTATTAATGTTTGTTCAGAAGATAATGACCTAGATGTAACTAAAATAGATCCTATTCCAAATATTTTAACTTCCAGTTTAGAATTTAGCGACGAGGGTTCAGTAGTATTGGAAAATGATTTACTATCATCTGATGACAATGACATCTCTCCTAAATTTGAACACGATTTTTCTATTACTCTTGATTTGCAAAGTAAATTAAAAGATTGGGCTCTCTCTGATAACATTTCACATTCTGCTGTTACTAGCTTATTACATGATGCATGATTATCATTCAGAACTTCCATTATATTGTCGAACATTATTAAAAACCCCAAGACAAATTGAAACGAAGCATTTGGAAAACGGGGAATATATACATTTTAATCTAACAAATACCTTAAAACAAATCTTAAATAAAAATGGTAGTTCATGATCAACCGAAATATCTCTAAGTTTTAATATTGATGGATTGCCACTCTTTCATAGTTCAAATACACAATTTTGGCATATTCTCTGCCTTTTAAGAGATAAAAATTTAAATTTTAAACCATTTGTAGTAGGTATATTCTGTGGAAGTGGTAAACCTACACCACTTTATTTATATTTAGAAGATTTTATTAAGGATGTTTCAGAATTACTTACTAATGGTATTATACATAACATGATTAGGTATTCTATTACAATACATAATTTTATCTGTGATGCACCAGCCAAAGCATTTGTAAAGTGTGTAAAGTCTCATGGAGGTTATTCATCATGCGACAAATGTACAGAATATGGGGATTATGTAAATGGCAGAGTAGTTTTAGAAAATTTAAATGCTCCACTAAGAACTGATGATTCATTTAGTGAACAAATTGATGAAAATCATCACTTAGGCATTTCCCCCCTAACAAATTTGAATGTTGGTTTAGTGTCACATTTTGTAATAGACTACATGCATGCAGTATGCCTTGGTGTAATGAAAAAGCTTCTTAACTCCTGGGTTGGTGGCTCTCTAAAGGTTAGACTCCAAGCTAGGGTTGTTAATAACATAACTGAATATATTATATCTCTAAGAAATTTTATTCCGGGAGAAATAAATAGAAAACCTAGAAGTCTTTCAGATTTACAACGATGGAAGGCAACTGAATTCAGAACTTTTTTATTGTATATAGGCCCAATTGTGTTAAAGAATATTGACATAGGAGTGTATGAACATTATCTTTTATTTCATAGTAGTATTTTCATTCTCAGTAATTCAAAACTCATACAGCGTTTTGGAACAGATCAAACAAAAAAATTATTACATACTTTTATTACCCACTGCAAAGAAATATATGGATTGGAATATCTTGTATACAATATTCATATTTTAAGTCATTTAAGCGACGATGTTAAAAGATTCGGACCTCTTGATTCGTTTTCGGCCTTTCCATTTGAGAATTATTTGGGACAAATCAAAAAGTTTATAAAAAGTCCCAATAAACCTTTGTAACAGATTTATAACCGTCTTGTTGAATTAAATAACTCAAATAAAGTTTCCTCTGAATTGAAATCTGCCCAATTCCTATATGAGCACATTCAGGGTCCAATATTAAAAGACAATATGATAAATGGTAGGTATTTTCAATATTAAAAAATAATTTTGACAAATTACGTTTTAACTAACAACTCATATTCAGTTGCTAATAGTTTCTGTATAACATCTCAAGACGTCGTCATAGAAATTCATAATATTATTAAATGTAATAATAAGTGTTTATTGGTAGGAAAAGAATTTTTGTCCAAAGAACAACTTTATAATTATCCATTTGATTCAAAATCTCTTCATATATATGTTTTAAAACAATTGTCTGAATTGAAAATGTGGACATTTAACATTAAGAATATGTCATCAAAATGTTTAGTGTTCCCTTTTTTTGAAGGAACATGGGTCTCATTTCCATTAATACATACTGTGATTTTTAGTTCTTTTTAAAAGCTGCGGCTGCATTTTTGCATTTATACCTTGATCTATATTACATATTTTTATCTATATTTTTTCTTAGTCGTTCGGATCTAGAGTTCTTAGTGCTATATACTTTTTAACTTTGTTTTTTTTTATTCTAATAAAAATTACTTTTTGTAAAAAAATTGTTTAATTCCCGTCAAATATTATGACGTTATTTTCACGTTATACATTTTGACGTTAAATCCACGTTATGCATTCTACCGTTGCATGCACATTGTGTTACTAACGTTTATTACACGTTACTTATACCAACATATTTTCCACGTAGTTTAAGAAACGTTGTTTAAGTGGTGCAAAACTACGTAATTAGCCATGTTGAAGTTACGTCGTTTGGCAACGTTACGTGGTGGTTTTTACAACCTTTTATTCACGTAATTATAACGTGTCTTGGTTAACTGGGATACACGCCCCTATGCTGGTAAGAGTCATGACAAACGCCAGAAATCGACTTATTCAGTGTATGAACAATGGGGGGCGTCACCTGCTTGATATGATTTTTAAAACCGTGTAAAACAAAACTTAAGATATTGCACCTTCATTATAAAAAAAAAAATAAAAAAACTGATTCTTAAAATGGGTTTTATTGCGTTTTGTAAAAAGGAAGTTATGTTGCCGCACCGCCCCCTCTATTATTAATTTATACCTACTAGTGATATAACCCTGTTTATTGCTTGGCTAGTGTGCGAAACCAGTCACAACAATAAAAGAAGTACGTACTTATTTTTAGGAATTAAAAATTGTTTAATTTACATAAAAACTTCCTACTGCACTTGTTTTTAATAGTAAACAATAAAATTTTAGTATACTGGATGGGTAAAGGGTATATCTTCATTAAAAAAAAGTGTAAAAGCGAAAGTTGTTAGACCAGGAGAGGCGCACAATCTGAGTGTATTTTTATTTATTGGCTCTGAAACGTGATGTTTAAAAAGTTTTTTTAATCTTCCTGTTTATTGATTGATGTTTGCATGTGGATTACCTTGAGTATTTTAATAATATATGATTTTAGCATTTTATACAGGGTAGCTTTAGAAATATGAACAATTTCCTTGTGACATGATTTTTACGGAAAAGTGGTATACTCCTTAAACACAAGAAAATGTCAACCAATAAACGAGGTGATCCATTAAAAAAAAAACAAAACTTTGGTAAACTGCACGATTAAGAGTCACTCTGTATAAATTAAAATCAAATTCAAATTGTGCTCCTTTCCTGGCCCCAAAGATCTTCTGCAGCTACATTTTTGTCCATCTATTTTCTATCTTTTTAACTCAAACACTAACGGCCCACCCTGTAGATACAGGGTTTTTCTTTTTTATTTTCTTATAGTTTTTAAAACTTTTTTGATGGGTAGTTGATTGGGACAAGAACATAGAAGAAATGTAAAATTTTTAT